TGGGGGAGATAGGACAAGCCCCAAAAGATGCGACTGTGGTTTTTCAGGACAACCAAGGTGCCATCGCCCTCGCACGCAACTCGATTTTCCACGCACGCACCAAGCATATCGAGATCAAGTATCATGCAATTCGTGAGCGTGTGATGGATGGGACCATAGAGTTAATCTACAAGACGACCTCCGACATGCTTGCGGACGCTCTCACGAAAGCAGTGTCGAGAGCTAAACTCGACGCGTTCAAGATCGGCATTGGCATGCGCAGCATGGGGGAGTGTTAAGTATGCTGCTGTAGGCAATGCTTGCATTAACTCATGAGTTATGGTGACTGGCTCAAGTGGTTTGGCATCGTGATGTTAAACGGCGAGTTGTGAGTTCAATTCCCACTACGGATGGTTAGTGCGTGTTTAACCTTTATGGTTAAGACTGCATATGTCTGCATATTAAAGTGTGTACTTATTTTAGATTCGCGCAAAGACTGAGTTAGAGTGTTCCACATACCTTAGGATGGGTTGGTAGCTTAAAACTTAGGTTTAGTATAATGTGTGGCCCGCAAGGCAGTTGCGCCGTGGGTCCACACAATTGTGTCTAACATTAATACACTCACTTCTGCATTTGCACACACAAGCACACATCACTTCTACCTCTGCCCTTCTTATATCCTTTAAGACCGTCAATCGGTACCTACCCCGATTCCACCGTTTTACACTTCTTTGCGAAACATCCAAGGGGTAAGCCTTTGAGCTAAACGAGAGTTTCTGTGCCGGCACATAGAGCGACATCGGGAAAATCATATGTATCTGTAAAAATATTAGAGCGTGGCTTTTCCATTTGAGCCTGAACACCGCTCGCTCTCGTCAGAGATGGGGCAGAAGGTCGCAACATATAGTCTCCCTGACTCGCCTCTACCGGCTACAACACATAAGACTTCAAAAAACAGCCGCATTTTACATCCCCATTAGAAGTATTCTCTGGGGATCACGTTGAACTGTCTCTACCGCAGTAATTAACTCTAGAGTCCGCGATATACAATTGCTTTTGTTCAGTCTAATATTCGGCTCACTGCTGTTTCTGCCTTAAAGATTACTTTAAGGAACGAAGCAATAAATTTGCTGGATCCCAAGATCTGCAGATCAGCTACCGCAGCTAAAAATCCGCGTTCTTCTGTTTCCTGATAAGGGTTGTTTCGTGAGTAAACACAACTCCACAAGGATTGAAGTACACGACACCAAGTTTTTTTTTACTTGTATTAGATCCACCGACCAAGACAACAAGTCACGTATAACATCACCTAGATTTAGAAACAGGATAAAGCAGCTTTTCACGCCGCCAAAGCCTTCAACAGACCTTCGACATATACCCATCTCAAGACACAAATATCGTGTGTGCTCAGCGCTTTCTCGTACTGTCTTCCATTTTCGACTGTCCAGCGCGTAGCGTAACTGAATACGTTCCTATATATCAAAATATATTAACTTTTGTCGACTGCAAGTATCCTAAGATGTTCATTTTGTTAGTCAACAACCCTCAGTTGCGAGACCCACCTCTGCCAATTAAAATCGTCGCTTTTTCAGGGCTGCTTTTGGGTGATACTCGACCATCGTATAAGGTGCAATTCAATTCTCAGCTTTCTTAGTGGGCCGTTCTGTACATACTGGGATTGAACATTGAGCGCATTTTGCGATGGACTCGTCGCATTTCAGCCAAAATAGGGAGAGACCCGCGAACCAAGGAATTTCGCACTCTTACAGATGTATCATCGGTGAGGATGTTGGATCTTTTTGTTAGCTGATAGATTTCCTTTCATTTTTTGTATAGTTGAGGTCAACCGTCTCTGGCGCTTGCAGAGCTTTCACCTTACGAGTCACAAGTGACCCTCGCGGCACGAATTGTACTTCGCGTTGAATATGCTACCGCGATGGATGGTTTCTGGTACGTAACGTGAAAGCGGTGGATGCAGATGTACCACATCTTCAAAATAGGTTAGGCTGACGCGGAGGATCATAGTGGGAAATGCGCCTAGATGCAAGCCCCCCATGATTATGACGGTGCTACCGCCTGGACATTGTGTGCTGCCATTGCTGTGATAGTTACTCTCGGCTCTTGGATATAGTCCACTACTTCTCGCACTCTTTGACATGTGGACAAAATTGAGCATATGGGTTACGCCTGGTAAGTCGGTGCGAACGTCCGCGACATATGTTGTCTACATAACTTTAGAATGCTTTTCCATGAAGATACTGAACGCTAGTATCCATTCTCGCATGCAGCCTCTCGGCCTAATCATCGGGAGAGCAACGCCCTAGTGCTCTGTCTCGAGAAACTACAGCTATCTCAGCGTATCAATTACGAATAAAACTTTCCCTTTCTCCGCATTGTAAAATAACTGGTTTACCATGAGCGGCCCCAGAGTACTAGCCACGTTTTAATCTAATGACTGATTGAGACTTTTCTGGATCTGTCACACCACTGCATACTTATAGCTCGTGACTACCTTCAGGTGTTCGACCACCGCTTCTTTTCTTCATCCGCCAAGCGTGCTACTAACTCGCCACCAACTAAAAGTTGAAGCTTATTTAGCTTTTCTTATAATGTCTCGATGAC